CAGACATTTGGAAACTAGCCCTAGTCAACAAATGAGTCCCAGCCACAAAAACCAACACCGGAGCCAGAACAACACAGGACGCAATCACCAATCACCCTCAGCAGACTCAAACCCAAACCCATCCCATAGACCAAATACAATCACCATTCAGAAGCCAAACCACGGCGGCATCACCAACTGCTGCACACACCCCCTTCGACCCGCACACAAAACAAACTGACACACGCCATGAACACATGGCCGGACTGCAAACTTGGAGCCAAACCAAAGCCCGGGATGTTACACCACAGCCATCTGCTCAGGACATTATATCACAGAACTCAGGAGGTTACAATGCAAAGGCTCAGGATGTTACAACGCAGCCAACCCCGCAGGAGGTTGCAGCATAGGACTCAGGATACCACTACAATAGAGTTCAGGATGTCATATATATATAAAAATCAGATACTGTACCAGTACATGCCTTCAACTTTGAGCCAGTTATGATGTGATATACCTGTGATGGCGAACCTATGGCATGCGTCCCATAGTCCTCTGTGGGTATGTGCACCATCACCAGCTGCTCTTCTGGTTTCCGGTGCGCACATGTGGGCCGGCCAGCTGGTCTTTGCAGGCGCCGGAAAACGGGCCCCAAAATGGTCAAAAACCAGCCAAAAAAATGGCCAAAAAACAGGTATGCGTGCGCTGGCCAACTTCTCTTTTGGTTTCCAGTGCTCTGGCATGCCCACATGCATGTGCGTTCTGGTTTGGGCACTCAGTGCCAAAAAGGTTCACCATCACTTTGATATACAGTTTGATGTGGGTCCCCGCAGTCACACTGAGGGGAGAATATTATGCCTCATTTATACAGAGAGTCCTGGCAGATGCTTTGTAAGGTGCGAATCCTATTCAGGATTGTCCATTGCTGATGTGATAGTTCAAAGCCTGGCATCTTTTTTGTGGACTCAGCTTTTTCAGTTGTTAAGCAAGGTGGTTGTCCAGTAAGTTATGTCTGATTTTAAGACTTTTTTGTGAGGGTTGTTAAGTAAATCACTGCAGTTGTTAAATGAATCATGTAGTCATTGTTGGAAGGCAAAGGTTTCCGGTCTGTTCCCAGCCGGGAGTTACCACCGACGCTAAAAGAAAGTTTCGTGAAGACAACTGTCTGGAAGTTATGAGTTATTTTTGAAGAAAGAAAGAACAGGAAGGATGAGACACAGTTCCCAGGTCTGCAGCACCTCATATCCACTTTGGTCTCCCCTTTTATACAGTTTTTCTTGCTTCAGGCTATTGTGTAAATTCGGATTTTATAAAGTTCTTTTTATTCCAGATGATTGCTCTTGATTCTCTTGTCTTCGGATTTCGTTCATCAGATGTCTTGTCCTTGGGCTAATCCTATCATAAGATACGAGGAGGGTGTTTTCCTGTTTGGGCGCTTATACAAAGGTGTCTGCTCTATGTAAATAGTTATGATGTTTGTTTT